GAAGGGGAGACCCCAGCAGGACGCTTCGAGCCCCCCGCCTCAGGAGAACGCTCGAGACCGGCCACGGGCCCCCATCGCGCTCCCGGGAAGCGCCCAACGCGCCCCCCGGGGGGCCCCCAGAAGCTGCCAGAGGCTCGAAGGCCCACGAAAACCCCCCAAGGCCCCCCCGAGAGGCACCCGCGACACAATCGCCGCGGCGGGCCAGCGGACGGCGGCCAGGGCACAGGCGAGACAAGTTCGTCGGAACTCGCCAGGAGCGGACCCGTCTGGGCACAGTTGATTGCAGCGCAATTCTCCCCGCCGCACTTCTCTAGAAGACTTTCTATTATTAAGTCGGGCGTGCCCCCCTACAAGGGGACTTCCGACCAAAAATCAGAAATGCCCCAAAAATGCTCCAAAATGATATTTAGAAAAAAATTGAAAAATAGTCCCCAGGCGATGTTTTGATTATTTTTGCATATTCCCCTTGTAGAGGGACAGGCCCGACTTCATTGTATCATCGATGCCCAGGGTGGCCAGGGCCTGGCTGCCTCCGGCATGGCCTCCGCAACAAAGACCACGTCGGCCTCGTCGCCGACCCGCGACGCCTGCGCGCGCGGCGCCCGCGCCTGCCAACCACGGGCAGATCGCAGACGCACGGCGTCAAGACACCGAGCACTTGACTCGGATGACCTGCGGCGCCCTCGACGCGCCACCCCTGGGACTCCTCCTCCTCCTCCTCCTCCTCCTCCTCCTCCTCCTCCTCCTCCTCCTCAGTGGCGCACTGCGCCAGCTAAGACGCGCCCATGCTCTCCCAGCCCAAGTCTCCCCACCTCGGGTCGCACAGGATATTCCCCACATGCTCAGTGAGGTTATGGTTTTCTTCTCTGCCTCGTCGCACCCGCGTCTCCCGCACCTCCCCCCTCCCCTTCTCACACAGCGCAGCGCAGCACAGCACAGCACGGCACAGCACAGCTCAGCTCAGCACAGCACAGCACAGCTCAGCTCAGCACAGCACAGCATAGCAGGAGTGGCATTTCCCGACACCGTAGGGGGTGCGCAGGGGGTGGTCCCTGAGCGCGGCCGCTATCTGAGCCTGTCGCCCAGGGCATAGCAGGAGTGGCGTTTCCCGACACCGTAAGGGGTGGTCCCTGAGCGCGGCCGCTATCCGAGCCGGTCGTCCAGGGCATAGCAGGAGTGGCATTTCCCGACACCGCACGGGGTGCACAAGAGGTGGTCCCTGAGCGCGGCCGCTATCCGAGCCGGTCGTCCAGGGCATAGCAGGAGTGGCATTTCCCGACACCGTACGGGGTGCGCAGGGGGTGGTCCCTGAGCGCGGCCGCTATCCGAGCCGTCGTCGATGAGCGGGCATAGCAGGAGTGGCGTTTCCCGACACCGTAGGGGGTGCCAGGGGGTGGTCCCGAGCGCGGGGCCGCTATTCGAGCCGGTCGTTCCAGGGCACAGCAGGAGTGGCATTTTCCCGACACCGTAGGGGGTGCGCAGGGGGGTGGTCCCTGAGCGCGGCCGCTATCTGAGCCGGTCGCCCAGGGCACAGCAGGAGTGGCATTTCCCGACACCGTCGGGGGTGCGCAGGGGGTGGTCCTTGAGCGCGGCCGCTATTCGAGCCGGTCGTCCAGGGCATAGCAGGAGTGGCATTTCCCGACACCGACGGGGGTGCGCAGGGGGTGGTCCCTGAGCGCGGCCGCTATCCGGGCCGGTCGTCCAGGGCATAGCAGGAGTGGCATTCCCCGACACCGTACGGGGTGCGCAGGGGGTGGTCCCTGAGCGCGGCCGCTATCCGAGCCTGTCGTCCAGGGCATAGCAGGAGAGTCACTATTATTATTATACGAGTTGCGCAACGCAGGTGCAAGCCTGGCCGCAAAGCATCACAATTACAGTTCAGGAAAGGCCATCCCCGACTTCGGGGGCATGCCTCGAGCAATCCTGGAGAGCACATATTTGCCCATACGAGTGGGGCGCTCACACGGCTTCAACAACTTACGGGCCTGTTGTACACACAACGCTCCACAACGCGTGCAAAACAGGATACCACGATACACATCTAACAGATGAGAGGGATGCATGTCAGCTGCACGTGGATGGGCGAGAGCTCCCCTCTTGGCAAGGGGCTGCTCCACCCGATCTTGGTGGTGAGTCTTCAAAGAGCCTCGTGAACGGGGCTGTCTCACCTCTGGGCTTACAAATGCACGGCCAAAACACATCCAGAAGGCCACGCTGGGTGAAGGTGCGCGCACACCGAGTACACCAAATGACACGCGCGCGCACCTGCACCTCATGGCCAACCGGCTGAATTGAGGACCCCCCTTATTTTGAGCTGCGGGGGCCAAAGCGGCCCAAAGAGACCTCTCATACCCGCCCAGCGGACACAAGAGGACCCCAAGATGGCTCCGAAAGAGCCCCAAGAGGGCCCCAAGAGGGCCCCCAGAGGAGTTCAAAAGGGTCCCATGATAGCTCCAAGAGACCCCCGAGAACCACTCACAACAACGCTTCAATTCGACTG